GGGTGAGAGCAGTGGATGACAAAAGAGATTCACTTTAATAACATTTAATATTAAGAATACTGCACAGTACATTCATGCTAACATACAGATAGATTACTGCCATGATAGGCTAGTAATAATCACCGCAGTCATTGTTACAAGCAAAAAATTCCAAGAATCGGGAGGTATTAAAATACTCTAAAATCCTATAAAAGAACATTTTATTTTTAAATTTGCAAGCAAGACTCTAAGCCACTCTTCCTGGGCAAACAATGGGGGGAAAATCAAACGTTTCAGTTTACTGAAATAACAAATTGCACTAAGGCATAAGTACGACTGCAGTAACAGGAAACAGATGGCCACGTGGAACAAAAGAGTTCTGCACACCATCTTTGAAAAAGCCAGCAATTAAATGAATTGAGAAGTACTCAAAGCTACTCTCCCCAGAGCTTGCAGGTTCACCGAGCTGTCCAACTGAAGAGTCTGGAGCACTGCTAATCCCAGTACCACACGGGCTCTCGCCACACTCCTGCCCTGTGGCTCAGCACAGAGCAAGTGAAAGCCTGCTCCATGCCCCTCACACCAGCGTCATCCTGTCCCAAGGCCCTGCACAGCTGGCTCCAGACCCTGGGTTGTTCTGTCCCTTGAACCAAGACCATTCCCAGCTCAGCACCTCTCCAGTTACTGTGTGCTCACTGCCTAGCATTCTCTTTCCTAGGGACTTCCCACCCCCAGTATCTGGCTACGACCAGAGGGCCACTTCTACCACCAGTCACCTCCTCAGAGGAGCCGTCCTGAGCACAGAACCCAGAGCGCCTGCCCCTCTGCAGCACAGGCTCACCTCATGGCCTGGGCCTTTGGGGCGCTCTGTACTACTGCGTCCGGCCTGGCCTCCCCTTGGAGCGTGGAAACTGCTGGGCCTGCCTGCCTTCTTTGCCGCAGTCCCCACTGCAGGCTAGGAGGCAGTCTGTGCTGGAGGCGGGGATGAACTGAGAACACGGCAGTGGGGATGGCTTTCACAGGCTCAGGGGCAGCTCTGGAGCACTGAGCAACTAAAGCTTTCATTATCCTACTAGTTTTAAAACAAGTTTGCAAGGCTCAATTATGCTTCTGGTTAGCAGGACTAATATAGATTACTAACCGGTCTGCAAAGATGCTCAATTATAATTATTAACAATTTCACGTACCAATAGCAATGATTTTCTTAGAGAAAGAAACCTAAGAATGACAGAACACTGGCAATCAAGGCGGTTGTAGTAAATTATTATGGTCATTCTCAAATATTGCAGATCTCTGCTACTGGAAACCTGAGGGGGCTACACACTCCTCCAACCAAGTTTCAATGTCTAAGTGCTAACCCGACTGTGGCTAATTAATACTAATGAGTCATTCATTAAGACAAAGCCTCCATCATTCTTGGTTTTTTAGTGACTACAGCGGCAGAGCCCCACACTGGATGGGTAACAAAAAGAAGAAATAAACTAGTGCTGCTGTGTCACATAATCACTGGGATTTGGGGAGCTGCTTGATTCCTCAGCGTGTTACAGCTTAGTTTGATTGACAGATGAGTGCAGCAGGGGGACCAGGAACCCGAGCTTTGGAAACTGACAGGCTGAAGTCGTCTGGTATCAGAGATCTGTCGCTTACTAAGGCAATGACCAAGTATAAGCCAGCACCAACTGTCTGGGCCTTCATGGCTTTATCCACAGAAGTTGGTTACAAAGACTGAATTCATATAAGCAGTGCAGTCCATGCTTAACAGCGTGCCTGCCGCGTTTGTTACACACTCAACAGACAGACAAGAAGTGGTATTAAAGACTAGTGAATCTTCTCTAAGATATTATGAGCCTATGGGCATTATGTCACTAAATCAATCTAGAAATACAACAGAATATCTCAAAAACTCAATACAGAAGACCCTAACTTAGGATGGTATGGCTTAGCAGTTTTTGACTTTACAATAGATTTATCTGGACACAGCCCCATAGTAAACGGAGCAATTATATCAGGATCAGTGTGTGGATTCTTAAAGAATAAATGACAGCTAAGGTTTAAAAATAGAGAAAAGAGAACAGAGGAAGGAAGAAGAAACACAGTGACAGCTACTTCTGAGAAGGAACAAGGAGTTGCAGACAGAGCGAACTGGCTCTACACTGAAGGGACAGAGGGGCAACATGGGGGTCAGTATAGAGTCAAGAACAGGGCAAATGACACAGACAGTTGCTCCGGAGCCTTGCGGAGCCTCAGAGTTGCGCTCAGGGAGCCTGGAGGGCCAGCCTGCCAGGAAGCACTTGGAACACACAGACACAGCCAAGCCTAACGCCACTTTGAGAGACCATGCTTACAGTACTGGCAAGCGTCAGACTCTCCCATTTCCTCTATGGGAACAGCCTTTAATCAGGACAGTGGGCCCACAGCCCGTCAGTCACAGGGACAGGCACGGGTGGAACGAACGCTTCCATGCTGCTGCCTTACACGCCGTACCCATTACGAGACCTGACAGCTAAAACTCATCAAAGCGGTGCCAGGCAGGTCCCAGAGAGAACACTCCAACCACAAAATAACAATTGGGATTTTCATTAAAAGCCAATCTTGTTCAAATTCAAGTATTTTCTTTCTTTTTTTTTTTTTTTTTAATTTTTTTTATTTAGTGTGTGTGTGTGTGTGTGTGTGTGTGTGTGTGTGGCCAGCTCAGCCCACCAGGGGGCGGGGCTGGCTGGCATGTAGTGCTGGGGGATCGAACCGCGGTCCCTGTGCTTTGCCAAGCTTGTTCCAAGTAGGTGCTTTAGACCACTGAGCCATCTCGCCAGCCCCAAATCTTTCACCTGATTTTTTTTTTTTTTTTTTTTTTGGCAGAACCGGGGATTGAACTCAGATCCTTGTGTTTGCCAGTCAAGCACTTATCCTACTGAGCCATCTCCCCGGCCCCTCAAGTATTTTCAATACCTAAATCTTTTATGCAGTAATTTTGAAGTTTTTAATGAGTTTATTGATCATTTTCACCAGCTGAAAATGAGAAGATAAACACAAGCACGAGCATAAATTATCCTTAATAGTGCTCAATTTTTACGAATTACCAGGACAATTGTTGAAACATACTGATAGATTTTTGTGCTATCACATAATAGTTAGGTCTCTAGAGCCTGCAAATAAGTTCTTCCAATAATGAAATATCACTAAAAATTCTGAAAATTTTAGTTACAAAAAGTGGACAATTTTTATCATCCAAACAAAACATTCAATAGTTCCAGATCACTTAAATTATACCCAAATCAGAAATGTGCTAACCATTAGAAACATAAGAGGATACTTTTGCCCCGATATTTTGGCATTTGGCATCAAAGGCAGCCCTCTACAGATCTGATATTAAAGCTTGTCAAAAGCAAAATGAAACTGTAAAAGAGCCAAGAACAAAAGTGGGTATTGCTACAACTCTTTTGAATAGCATGTAGCCTTAAAGACAAGTTCATTTAATACAAATGGAACCTTAAAGCAGAACTGTAAGGCACAAAAAAAAAAAAAAAAAAGAAGAAGAAGAAAAGAAAGAAAAGTCCAAACACATTAAAAGCACGACAAGCCCAATAGGGTTTAAGAATCAAGCCAAAAATTAAGCCTAAGGGTAAAGTTGGAGGCAATTCAAACAATGGAGCAGTGAACATCGAAGCGACCGGAACTAAGTCTATGTTTAGACTCCACTTTGGAGACATTCACCATCATTCTTAACCAAAATCAAGCCTTGTCTAACAATGGTCCCCAACGAGTAGGAACACAAGCTTCTTTAGGTGATCAGCTGCAAATTTAGGGCCAATCTTAAAATAGGAAGGCAAATGACACCTACGGCATCTGTTCATACAGTTCTGACAGATGACAACTGAAAGTGTACTCTGCTCTTCTGCCCTCCCCTTCACCATTTCAAAAAGAAGCTGCCATCAAAAGCATGTCAGTAAATCTCCAAGTTTTAAAATAATAGGAACCATGTGCCCCATGTGTTCGCCAGATTCATTTTTATGATGTATAGTTCTCTGTATTAAAATAAACATATTTCTGATAAAGAAAGTAATGAAAAGAAATCAAAAGAATCCATCCCAAGAATTTCACATCTCTCAATGCAACATGGGACTGGATTTATTAGACTCTGCCACCTAATGAAAGGACCTGTGATCTCCATTTAGAAGCACCCGTAAATGATTAAAAAAAAAAAAAGATCTCATGTTCCAGGGGACAGGGATACAAAATATTTTCAAGACTGAAAGTTTTAAGCTAAGGACTAAAATATATGGCATACCTCATGTTTAGTTTTGTTCTTTATATTTAAAATAATGTGTTTATGAAGAATTTAAAAGAGAACATTTTTGCTGCCCATAAATTTCTATAACTGCAAGTGAAATGATATTGAAAAAATAAGAATGCTATTCTAGAATAAATGAAAACCATCCAACTGATTGTACTTATCAGAACATGCTTGGGTTTACAAAAATATGCATTGCAAAACAGTTCACCCCAGGTAATCCCACGCCCATCTGTAAAGAGAAACGTGTACTACATTTCACTAGCTGTCCTCTATATTCTATGAAAAAGATTTTCAAAGACAAATACCTGAACTTTGGGTTTGACCAGTCACAGTTTCTAAAAAAAATCTTTCAATCTTTTCTTTTGAATCAATGAAAATTATAAAATCATTTCAAGTGTTAAAAATGAAAACCGACTAAGCTTCAAAACAAAGGCCAAAACCTCACACAAGAGTAGGGCAGGGAAGAGGTAAACAAAGAAAGTCTGAAGTAAGGTCCCTAAGAAGAAGCCCTCCACCTAAGGACCCCCAGAAGTGCCAGCCCAAGACAAGGCAATGCACAGTCCCCTCCATTAAGAAATGCACACTGTGAAAACAACACACTGATAAATGATGTTATGACATGAAAATGAAAATCTGAGCAGAATGAATGTGTATGTTACTGTCTTTAAGATTCAAGAGCTGGTCTAACATCTAGGTTATGTATTTGTATAAATTTGTATTTTAAACTCACCTGATTCATTTTGAATTCCTGTTGTGTTCTGTAAAGATACACACAACAAAGAAACTTCTTTGATTACATGAACCCTAAAAAGAAAAACAGACAATTGTAATATGTACCTGCCTACAGATTTACAGTGATTTAAAACCACACACAGAACTGCAGAGTTTGCTCAAAGGGCCATTCATAAGGCAACTCCATGCCAGATCAACTTCAGTCTATGCTGACGGCTTACTTCTCAAATTTATTATCCACAGTAAAATAGATTGCTTACTAATCCTTACTAGGGCTTCATTGTACTGTACAATTGAAAGCAGACTCATTAGAATGACATCAAATTTCTGCTCTGGAATTGCATCACTCCTAAAAATAAATTAGCTTTGTTAACGGTGAGAAACACACAGCACTGAAGAGCCAGTCTTTATGCAAAGCAAGTGTCCCTCTTTTGCTTGTATCATTGTGCTGCATGCAAACACAATTAGAGCCCATTACATTACTGGTTTTCAAGTTCCTAAAGTAGAAATGACGGTTTACTAACATTGGCTATGCTAAGTAATCTTTGAGGAAAAGAACGAAAATGTGCAATAAAACACAAATGCTTTAATATAAAGGAGGTTTAGAAAAAGCTACAATTTTTTAAAATTCTGTGCTCAAATATGACTAGTATATGAGAATGAGACAGTGAAATATTTTCATGTGAACACACATACATAGTCATGTACCACACAACAACGCTTCAGTCAGCGACGGACCACACACCACAGTGGCCCTATAAGATTGTTCTGCCTCGTGATGCTGCAGCTGTCTGGACATTTATGATGTTCACACAGTAACCAAACTGCCCAGTGATGCATTTCTCAGCACCCATGCAGTCACTAAGCATTGCGCGGCTATATGCATTTTCTACATAATAATCTACGCAGATGGTCCCTTCTGCAGTGCACGCCTTAGGAGCCATTTGATGTCATTCGCGATACGTGACAATCATTCCACCTTAAGCACAACTTCCACTGTAATGTTCTGATTGCTTCCAGTGTGCGGACACATACACACACCATTAAGTGCAATTCTATTTCTTCAGGCATTTATTTATAAGAACTTCTCTTTCCTTCCTGGCCCACAAGGCTCTGCTTATATGGTAACTTTCTGTTCTAGCTGTTAATAACCCAAGGAATCTGGAACACAATGGCATTCTTCTCACCAGAAGAATACACTGCCTTTGCGGCCCCCTGCCACAAAGCATATTGTTTTACATTTTACATTGTGCCCTGGTTTTGTGAGGAGAGTTGACTTTTTCTCTTCTCTCCAGCTGTTCAGCACACTCACCTGATCACTTTTAACAGGCAAAGGCACTACACTTCAATCATGGTTTGGTCACCTGAACTATTTTTTTCATTTGTAAATGGCCCAAGGAATGTACTCCATAAAAAGGCATCCTGTTAAAAAAAGCAGCACTAGCCAATCCAATGTACGTACCTAGTAATTAAATGCTCAGTAAATAAAACATCCATAAAAGAAGGGGGACCCACAAGACAATGTCTCTTCTTTTAAAGCACGACAATGTACCTCTTTCTCACATATTCACCACACCCTTCTTCAGGACACACATCACACACTGAATATAATCCGTCCCATTGTATGAGACTTGAGACAGTCATCCTGGTGAAAGTAACACACTCTGGTATGAAACAGTGGTAAGGGCCACGGTCTCTAAAACAGGCTTACCTAAGCCCCTCAAGCGCAAATGCTCACTGACTTCCCTTGATTCCACTGGGTGGCCCAAGGTGACAGTTTACGCCTCAGGGGAATAAAATCTTGGGAGTTTCACTTGTCCTCTCACTGAGCTTTTTATCAGTAGGTGTACTCACTCACTTGGGATTCAGTAGCTCTTTGAGAAACAGACAAAAGCTGAAGACAAGCAAATATTTTAATGAGAGATGTTTGGAAGGCGCTACAGCAGGCTCTTCCTTGGTTTGTCTTTTCCTTCTCAGGAGAGTCATCAGTCCTCACAATTATTACATATGAAAAGTCTTCCAAGGTCCAGCAGCCACTGTGGAGTCTTCACATGATCAGCTCAGTAACATTTACTGAGGTAAGCACTAGCATCCGCCAATGACAGATTCAAGAAGGTCAGGATAACTTGGCCAAAGCCCATAATTCTGCTTTCTATCATTTCTTAACTACGTCTCACTCTTGTGCTGTTTTGCTTGGGTTATTTTGCTTCTTTTGTTTGTTTAAAGCTTCACTGAGACATTCACATACCACACAACTGCCTTATTTTCAATGTGCTACTCAAATACTTAAAGAGTTGTGCAACCATAGCCCAAATCAATTTCAGGACATTTTCTTCAGCACAAAAAGAAACCAGGCACTAGGAAAGTATTAATCTGTTTTGTGTCACTAAAGTTTGGAGTGTGCTGACTTCTCAACACTTCATATTGTGACAGGAAAAAAAGACAACAGTTTAGTTTAAAGACCTTAATTGGCTATATTTTTGATTCTACGATAGAACACATACTTTTGATTAAGGAACGCTTCGTTCCGTAACACGGAGTAGGTGTTCCCTCACTCACTGACTCCTGTTACCCTGCGCCCTTAACAGGAACCCAACACAGCTCTGTAGTAGCAGGAGGGAAAAACCCCTGCCCTCTAGGGGAGAGGACTTGCAATGCACAAATACACAAGACCCGAACACGCTGCACATGGAATAAGAAGGTGATTTAGAAAAACAATAAAGTTAGGAAGAGGACGAGACAGATTACAAGCTCTGTATATAGCTCTGCAATTGCCAACCCAACAATCTGCTGAGAGAAGGACTCAGTCAGTAGTCAGCTCTTAACGCCAGGAAGAAGAGAAGGAAGGGAGGTTTGGGAAGAGCCTTGAGGGAAAGCCCAGGTATGGGTGGGAAGCCCCTGCACAGCAGCAGCCTTGGGGCTGAGGGGCAAAGACGCAGAAGTGGGGACAGCACGCAGGCAGTGATGTCACAGCAAACGTCCTGTGTAGGCAACAGATGATGCTAATGTGGCCCTGGTGGCAGAAGAAACAGAAGCGACTGAAGGGGAAGGGAAGGGGAGGAAAAGGAAAGGAAAATGAAGAAAGAAAAGTAGAGCTTCCAAATTTAGTTGCTAAAGAAAAAGAAAAAGGGAAAGGACAGGACAGGACAGGACAGGACAGGACAGGACAGGACAGGACAGGTCAGATCAGGTCAGGTCAGGTCAAGGCTGGTCCTGAAGTCTTTGTCCTAAGGGACTGGGAGAAGGGAGCAGCTGCCTTCTTTCCACCTCCTTCTCATTTGCTTTTCCTTTTTAAATAATTTTTCCTGTCCTTGTCTCACCCTTTCCACTTGCTAGCGTATAGGCACAATTCAAACAACTGCCCTATCCTGACATCTAAGATTAAGCAGCTAAAAGAATATTGTACTGAAAGCATTTTATTCTTTATTATCTGAGTAAAGCAACATTTTCCAAATTTAAAAAGCTATAGTATCATTCAGATTGCTGCATGATTAAAACTCTCCTATGACTCTCTACACTATTTTGTTCCTCTTGGTCCAAATAGGAATGCACGCACCGTGTTTCTTTCTAGAGAAAAGAGAGACCCCATCACACTCTGAAGTTCACTCGAGGCGCCTGTGTAGAGACCCAGTTCTGCGCCCCTTCTGCCCCCGCCTGTGGAAGACCACGCTCTCGGTCTTTCTCTCTCCCTCTTGTCACGTAGTATCTAAAATATTTTACAATACTATAAACATTGCAAATCTGACAGACTTCAGAGCTGAGGATTCCTGAAATTCAGTAATCATCTAACTAGTTGCAATCAGATATGAAATTATGTATTTTAAAGCAATGCCAGACCTTCTCCGACACTGCTTTGGAGTAACTTCCTGAAGATTCTTCCAATCTTGCTCAAAACCCCTTGGAAGCACCTCAGCAAACCTACATAACATCCATGTTCAGCACTGATTTCAACACCCCCACTTTTACGTAGCACCCAATTAATGTCAAATCAGTTTAAAAATCTGGCTAACGACTACCTTGAGGTCAAAATTTTGTCAAATGTGAGAAATTTAATGATCAACCCTATTAGCACTAGAAATGTTTCCGGACACCCCAATGAAACCTTAACCATCCTATCAAAAATATTTTGAAGCTAAAGAATAAAGTGCCTCTGGCTTCCTAATTTTAGATACTGGAAGATTTTAAAAGTCCAGGACTTTCCTGACAGTGGCTAATGCCTTAGTTTCTCTTATGAATTTCCACGTCTGGCTAAGCAATACTGCCTCTATAGGACTGCTAGAAGATGTCTGTGTATCCCTCCTGTTCCACCCATATGAGACTGATCAAGCCTGGAGGAAGGAGAAAGCATACACTGGATGGACGCACCCAGTCCACAGCTCCCTCAACAACCCTCTGAAATAATCTAGAGATTAATCTAAGACAGATGGAAGCTGGCACCAATGAAACACACACAACACCAGCTCACCTGTCTTCACTCATCTCTGCAGATTTGTTTATTCTATAATGCTATATAAGGGGCAAAGAAAAAGCAAGCCGATGCTTTAAGATTAGTTTAGGTCAGGAATTGGGAAAATGTTTAAAATTTGTTTTGATTTACACTGTCATCCATAAGTCACTGATTTCACAATTGCTCCTTTGAATCAGTTATACTTTTCGTGGATATCTGGAAAACCCCGTAATTAGCTTTGTGATACTCACTGATACTAATTTCTCATAATTATTTTCTTAAATTACAAAAACAAAAATCATGTTGTAACATTAAGAATCAGAAAACAAGGGCTGGCAATGTAGTGCAACAGACTAAGTGCCTGCTTAGGCAAGGACAGGGACAGATTCGCTCCCCAGCACCACGTGCTGCACCAGCCCCACCCCTGGGCGTGCGGAGCCTGCGAGTCTGGGCTTGGTGGCGCAGGCCTGTAATCCCAGCCCTGGGGAGGCTGAGACAGGAGGATCACTACCAATCAGAGCCGCCTAGTGAGACCCTGTATCAAATACATGTTTTAAAAAATCAGGAAACACTAACTTTATAAGACTTAGGAAGCTTATGAGCAAAGAGCAGAACAGAAATAAGAA